TTATTTATTATATTTACATTTGTATTTGTAAAAGTGTGTTTTTTTTTAAATCTTTAAAGTATATTTATAATATATTTATACTTTATAACATAATGTTTTTGTAATATAATGTATCACAATGTACTTTATAGTATACTTATAACGTATTTAATCTATAATGTATTTTATAATGTATTATAATGATAATGTATTTTATAATGTATAATGATATTCGTAATATAATTTACTGAAAGTTTGCGATTTACTGAAAGGGGCATGATGTAAAGTGCGCGATTTCATATTTTACTGAAAGTATGAAATCGCGTATTTTACACTGGTTGGAAATTAAGTTAGTTTTTGTGACGCTTGAGAGTTTTCTACGATTACCAACAGTGTCATCTGCGAAAATAAGCATTTGGAATATGTTGTTCCTCCAAAAAAAAGGAAAGGCCAAAGATTCTGGTTAATCTTGCTTTCCATTCCTTTCTTTTTCCTCTCATCTCTGAACACCGCGATCGTCATACTGACGAGATCCAGTCGCGGTGTTGAGCTATGATGTATATGACTTAATGGACCGAAGCGTCCTTAACTCTTACTCACTTATTTTTCCTACACCAGCCATATTTATACATCTATATATACACAGTTAGTTCTAGTCCTACCCTATTTAAGTTCTTAATATTACTCGTATGCTACAACCATGCAAAAATCAGCTTAGCATGAGAAATAAAAAAAAAATAAAAGATTGTGTCAGCAGAGTAAGGTAAACAGAGGTATGTATAAACTTAAGAGGAATGAAAAGTTTGCTCATGGGATTTTGTTGGCGATGATCTGGCTGGATTGTTCAGGTTGATCTAGCAGCACTGGATACATGCCAATATTCAACAGCAACATTTGGTGCACTGCTGGACTCTATCCAAAAAGCAGTTGATCAACTGTCGCTGGGTAATTTCTCGAATTTGCATCAATGGGTCAGTTCGCTGGATGCAAAAGTATGTTTTTTGAGGATTTTTTTTTGTTCAGTTTAGTTTAGTTTTTTGTTGCTTTCCACAGGATGAAAACTTACCGCATCATGCGTTTTCAACAGTAAAAACAAGTTTTTTCTCGAAATTCTTTTTAGAACTGAAGTCAGTTCTGTTTAATTCTATTTATATTATCTTTGGTAGGCCCTCTTTGGTATCTTCTTCAGAGAATCGAGGAATTTGCAAAACCCGTAATTATGGCAACGTAAGATCCGGCCTTAAAATCTTGC